CTTCAGGCGAGCTCGACCCCGGCCCAGAGGTGACCCCAGGGCGCGGCTGACCCCTCCTGACCGCCCGCTGCCCCCTCAGCAGTGGGCTTCGTCCATCTGCCTGTCCTGCTCCCCATGTCACTGGGGAAGCCCCTCGCCCCCCGCGCCTCTGGCCTGCGCCCCAGCTCTGTGTGCACAAATCAGTCAGTCGTTAAAAGAAACCATGAGCGAGCTCGTGTGCTCCCAGTCTGCCGACCTGTGGCTCACTCGGCTGCGAGCTGGGGCGCCCCTTCAGGACCCGGCCGTGCCCTGCCCCGCCGCCCCCGCTCTCCGCCATGCCCTGGCCCCCCTCCCCGCGCCCCCTCCTCGCTCCCGCCCTGGGAACCGGGACCTCTGCAGCCCGAGGATTACCACGCGGGACTGGTCACTGCTCTTCGGTCAGTCACAGTCCGCGGGTGAGCGCAGCCGTCCGGGTGTCCTCTGCCTCCCGTGTCCCGTGGGCGGCCACGCGCCGCCTCCTCTCTCTGCGCCGGCGCCGGACATTCATCTAAACCAAAGATGAATGTTCTGGGGAGGGGAGGGGCTGCGGCTCCAGCTCCTCCCGACGGGGGGTACCCTCACCCTCCTGCTCCTCCTCCTCCTCCAACAGAGGATGGAAAGAGAGAGCAAGTTGACCTGATGGAGAGGGGGCCAGCGCCCCCCGCTCCACCCCCTGGTGCCAGCCCGTACCCCCTGCTAAACAAGCCGGTCCTCGTCCTCGCTGGACAGAGAACAGGGCGCCTCTGAAATGCCCCACGAGCCCTAGTCCAAAGTGGGGTCTAGAGAGAATGGAGGGCGCCACAGGACTTGCTGTGTAGGGGTGGAAGATGGTTTTTCCTGCTAACTGCCCTGCTCCACCAGCCCCACTAAGCAATAAGCAGCAGCCCCTCTGCCCCCTTCCCCGGCGCTCTCACGCAGGTACACACACACACCTGTAGGTGCCTACCTGCTCCAGACCTGCAGGAATTTGTGTCTGTGGACCAGTGAGCAGGAGGAAACTTAATGCTTCACACGACAGACACTGTGTAAAGCTGAAGCTAGGGAAGAGACCCGGAGCAAACCGGACAAGGGCATGTCCTTTGGGGCAGCTCTTGATCCAGGAGAGGGCTCCTCAGTGCTCTCCTGCAGTCTCTTTTCCCTCTGTAGGAGAAGGGGAACAGGGCCTGGGGGCTTAGGGCCCCGGCTCCCCCTGCACCATGGCGACACTGAGCACCAAGCCAAGTCAGCGTTTCCGGCTGCCAGACTGGCACACCAACAGCTACCTGCTGGCCACCAATGCCGAGCTGCAGCGAGATGCTTCCCATCAGATCCGCCAGGAGGCCCGCATCCTCCGCAATGAGACCAACAACCAGGTTGGGCGCAGAACCCAGCTGAGCAGGCCAAGTGGTAGCCCCCAAACATGATACCCTCTATGTCTGACTCTGTCTCTTCCAGACCATTTGGGATGAACACGACAACAGGACTCGACTGGCAGAGAGGATTGATACCGTCAACCGATGGAAGGAGACGCTGGACAAGTGTCTGACGGATTTAGATGCGGAAATCGACGCCCTGGCACAGGCAGGGAGCAAGGGCAGGATGTGGGAAGCCCCTGCTGCAAGGTCTTCCTCTCCCTCCCCTCTTTGGGGTTGGGCGCCTTTGAGTGGGGGTGTGGGTGGCATGTCCACCTAAGTCACTTCACTGACCCCTCTGCTACAGTGGGAGAGCTGCTTCCCAGAGGGCCCCACCGACCATTCCTCTGCCCTCTCTTGTCTAAGATGCAAGAATCAGCGGAGCAAAACCTGCAGGCTAAGAACCTGCCTCTGGACGTGGCAATCGAGTGTCTGACCCTGCGAGAAAGTCGGCGTGACATCGACGTGGTGAAAGACTCTGTGGAGGAAGAGCTGCACAAGGAGGTGGAGGTCATTGACGCCACCAAGAAGGTCTTGCATCAGAAGATAAGCCAGGCCTTCGAGAAGCTCTGGTAAGGAGTGCTCACCTGCGCTAGAATTCTGGTGTCTTCATTTCTGCCCTGAGGCCTCTCTGCCTGTGCGGAAACCACTCATTGGTGCACTTTCACCACCACCCATACATGACCTCAGAATACTCCTCGCAACCCTGCTCTAGGAAACCACTACCAGTTGATTGGAAGCACAGAGCTTCCCACCACCCCTTACTGTGTGTACATGGGAGCATTTGTGATGTTGCCACACAAGTGTGCCCCTCTGGTGTATACAAACACCTAGGCATCATAATTTTGTCTGTGGGGAGCTCATCCAGCTGGGCTGGCTGTCTCAGTTTAGCGGTCACCCCACGGTCAGCCCATCCTGCAGTGTCCCTTCAGTGCAGCGCGGGCTGTGTCCTGGCTGTGTCCTGGGGCCTTGAGGCTCAGTTCCCAAGGGAGTCTGTGCCCCAGCCTCCTACAGGAAGTCCGACAGCAGCTCGCCTCTGACCATCGGGACAAGATGGAGACACTGGATATTGACAGAGGCTGCCTCTCTCTCAACATCACGTCCCCAAACATCTCTCTGAAGATCAATCCCACACGTGTGGACAACAGGTGAGAAGAGTGTCTGCCTTTCCACCTCCCACACTGGCCATCGCCCTGACCCCAGTATTTCCTGCCACCTGCAGCTCCTGCACACTCAAGCAGTGGGATGACTTCAGTCAGTTCAACAAGAACAGGGCAGAAGCTGAGATGAAAGAAGCTGTGGAGCTGAGGGAGGCCATCGCGCTTGCTATTGCCCAGGTGACTGGCCTCTCCACCCAGCCCCTCCTCCAAGGCTGATATCTGGCCCAAGCATGCACTTGAGCCCCATTTTCTGTTCCCTGGTGACCATGTGGCATCCCACCCCTCACTTGAATAATCCCCTCAAAGGGCCCTGAGTTCACAGCCTCCCCTTGCCCTGCCACTTCCTGTCCTTCAGACCAACAATGAACTTGAAGCCCAGAGGGTTGCAACGGAATTTGCCTTCAGGAAGCGCCTGCAGGAGATGGAGAAGCTGTACAGTGAGCTAAAGTGGCAAGAGAAGAATGTGAGCCTTCTGCCTTTAGTCCCCTGGGGCCTGGACATCCAGCCTTGGGATAAGGAGTCTGGAGTCCAGCCAGGAAGCCCTGACTGGTGCACCTGCTGGGCCCAGCTCATGCACACTAGTCACTTTGTCCCCACAGACCTTGGAGGAGATCGCTGAGCTGGAGAAGGACATCCGGCACCTGGAAGAGGATCTGCGCAGAAAGTTAATGAACCTGAAGTTATGCCATACTCGGCTAGAGGCTAGAACCTACCGGCCCAACGTGGAACTCTGCAGGGACCAGGTGCCAGGGTACCTCCATGGGGTGGGGGTCCCTGCTGAGGTTTCCCAGATCAATCCCCAGCGCTGATTATTGGCAGAACAAGGGTGCTGGCACAGGGCAGCAGCCAGGACCTTGGGCTGAAGTACGGTGTGACTGACCTGGAACTCCCATCTGCCTCCAGGCTCAGTATGGCCTCACTGACGAGGTTCACCAGTTAGAAGCAACCATCGCTTCCCTGAAACAGAAGCTGGCACAAGTGCAGTATGTCTGGGCAGGAGGAGCGGGGAAATACCTCTCCCCCTGGGTGGGGGGAGGCGGGGGGCTTGGGCTGCCTGCTGGCTTCCCTGCTGGCTTCTCCACGGGGGGCTGCAGGAGTGGTGAGTTGTCTCCTCCCCAGGGATGCTCTGGACGCCCTGTACAAGCACCTGGCCCGGCTGCAAGCTGACATTGCCTGCAAGGCCAATTCCATGCTGCTGGACACCAAATGCATGGACACTCGTCGCAAGCTGACTGTGCCTGCTGAGAAGTTTGTGCCTGAAGTGGACACTTTCTCCCGCACCACAAATCGCACCCTGAGTCCACTCAAAAGCTGCCAGCTGGAGCTGGCTTAGTTTTGGCACTGAGGAAGGGAAAGTTAGGTGGGAAAAGGAAGGTGGGTGTGGGGGGAACAGACTGAATCTAATAAATGTTGGGTTCTTAGTCCAGCTGTTTCTGTCTGGATGTTCCACATCCGATTCCTTCCCTTCTTTCTCCTAAGGGAACCCCTCTGGCTCTAGCCACCTGACCTGTAACTAGCTCTGCCCCATCTGGACCCTGGCCTGACCTGTTGATGCCTGGGGAGGGTCAGAGTTGCTCACAGTGGGAGAATCTGGGGGCAGGGAGGGCCCAGGCTGGAGAGTGGGTAGAGAGGCTAGGGCTGCGGATGAAGGGCTCAGGGTGCGAGGACACAGAGCAAGATTTCAGAGGCCGACCACTGGGCACCGTGGCCTGATGGCCTGCTCATTGCCCACCCCTCGGGATCCTTCAGTGACAGTCCCATCCGCCCGATGTCGTTTTTTCAGGTGTGTGTGTAGGGGGTGGTGTAAGGACTAACAAGCCGCCCGGGTCGCGGTTTGCTAGACACACCTGCGTCACGCGCGGGCGGCAGCTGCGGCTCCAGGCCGCTGGGCGGCGCTGTGGGTGAAGAGAGGCGCCGAGGCTCCGAGCCACGTGGGGGCGCTGTGGGGCTGCAGGGGAAGAGGCGCCGAAGGGCGCGCGTCCGCCGTACCGGAAGTGGCGACTGGTCCGCGCGAATGGCGGCGGCAGCGGCGATGACGGCCGCCGGGTGCGGAGGGGCTGGGGCGGCTCGCTCCCTCTCCCGCTTCCGAGGCTGCCTGGCCGGCGCGCTGCTCGGAGACTGCGTGGGCGCCGTCTACGAGGCGCAGGACACCGTCCAGCTGACGTCAGTCCTGCATCACGTGCAGAGCCTGGAGCCGGACCCCGGCTCGCCGGGGAGCGCGCGGACAGGTGGGCGGG